TGTAGGCCGCGTTACAGCCCGTCCCAAAGATGACGGCGATCTTCGTCTTCGGATTGACGTAGTGAGAGGCGATGAGGGTGCCGGTGGTGTCGTTGATCAAGGCCGTCAATTCTATGGGCAGGTCCTATGGGGACGTTAAGAGGGAATAGTAAACATTTGGAGGAGAGGCCTACATATTTGGCGAGAGACTTGCGGAACATGGCTGCTACATCTTGGCCTTCGGTGTTCGCGGCCCCAAAGCCCTTCGTCCACCGGATGAGCTCGCCATGGTCAATCCTCTCTTGTCTGAGTGACCTCAGTAAATGCTCCGAGTGCCAACAGAAAAACAGTGCACTCACGAGCACGGGTATGAGAACTACAAAGATCATGAGCCGATGCGGTATGAGAAGTCAAGCTGATCTTACAGTGAATCCGAGAGGCAGCTTCTCTCCCGGCTCCAGCTTCAGCCCGCTGTTCTCGTCCGCAAGATTAGTGTCCACGAATGTCTTTAAGCACTCTGCACAAAAGTCGAAGAGCTTCTGCCCATCCTCCTGCTTCTGCTCCTCCGTCAATCGGTACTTGGTTTGCGTGATCTCGAATTTGCCTTCGCCTTCGAGGGTGACGAGGCATACTCGGAGGTTCGTTCCGCCTGCGCGTGGAGAATTAGCGAGCACGCAGGGCGTGCAGACGGAACGTGCCAAGGTCGACAGCCAGGATGTTGCCTGTTTCCTGCCCAGTTGGCCATCCGAATACATATGTCGGGATCATAGGCTGGTGGAAAATCAATCAATATTTTGGACCCGATCAAGAGCCGAGGAGAAATCGGTCGCGTGTAGAATCTGGCCGAGGTGCTCCCAAACGCTGGAGACCAGTTCTCATTCGCGATTAGAACTTCGTCCACAGAAATCTGGTGTTCCAGCGCACGGAGATTATGCCAGGAAAGCGTTCAACATTCAACAATGTTGGAATTTGTGTGCCGCCGAAGCTGATAATGAAATTTTAAAAAATACCCACCACAATCTGTTTGGGTTTGGCGAGGCCGAGCTCCAGAGTTTCCCTGAACGCCTCCACGATCATCCGCATGCGCTGAGGCGTCAATGTAAATCTACAACCTCATCAGTCGCGATCAAACGCGACGGAATATTGTGCCGACTCACAAACTCTCGTATTTGCGCAGGTGGTCGGCCATCGTCCTGGCGGCGTGAATTATTTACTATTCCATAGGGCGGCGTCCTATGCTCTATACATACTTCTTGGTCGCGTGGGGGAGGATCTCCTCGTCTTGCGTTCTGGTGTGCAGGGCCATGGTTTGGCCCGAGGCCAGGACAATGCTGCCACTTCCTCGGCGAGACGCAGGCATGCTGGGCGAGAGAGATACGGCGGAATGACGATGTGGAGACCAAGGAAGTCCGCGTGTCACGCTCAGTCACGGGGAGTGACACTTCGACCACAGACACCATGATTGGGCTGAAGGGCACGTTAAATGTACGCGTTTTTCGCGTCCGTTTGCTGTGGCTGACCGCCTGCCAGATTATAGACAACTCGGGGGCGCTGGTCGCCGAGTGCGTCAACGTTTTAAAGCAAAAAGTGAATAACGGCTGGGGGTCCGTCGGCGACGAGATCGTCGTCGTCGTACAACGAGCGCGGCCCGTGTCCGCCGCCGCCTCGGCCTCCGTCACCGCCGTCAAGGTTCGCAGAGGGGACGTGCGCCGCGCCGTCATCGTCCGCACGCGGAAAGCCGTCCGCCGACCGGATGGCCGCCTCATACGCTTTGACGACAACGCCGCCGTGCTTCTGAACAACAAGCGTGAAATGCTGGGCACGCGGATAGGTGGCGTCGTCAGCGCAGACCTGCGCATGAAGGGCTGGGGCAAAATCGCCAGTCTGGCGCCAAAAGCGAGTGCTGTTTGCTTAACCTCGTGTACGAAAAATGATTAACGTGAGAGCTTTTCTTTAGGTCATATAGTTCCTTGGACAGGCGTAGCTGTTAGAGCGCGTCTGCTTTGCGTATTTCAGGCTGCCCTGTAATTTTTTATCCGCATATCCATCCCATATAATATCCTTCAAACTTCCGAAGACGTCCGCCGAACAGGCTCGATGATACCTGGGTACAACCCTGAAATCGAAACAGGTACTTGGATTCACATTTGCCATCACCTCCGATGCGACGCCGGAGCGACATATGCGGCTCGGACACAAATCAGAGGATGTCTATCCGACCGACACGGAAAGTGGGCACATTCCGCCAAGAAACCGACTGAAGAGAAGTTGCAATTTCGCGACAGCATTTAGGTTCCCGAAACCAGCGAAGGCAAAATAAAGATGACGGAGCACTGGGGCGTCCCCGAGCACGGAGGGTAAGAGTTTCTAGATGATCAAGTGACTGTCCTAGAGACGAAAAGCACGCACTAAGGTCATAGGTGGTAGGGTAACGGACGGGCTGTTAGGGATGCGAAAGTCTCGAAGAACGAGCCGCCGTCCCGGGATAATTTGACAAGATATTCTTTCTTTGACGAGATATTCGTCGAATTCACTCGACGCTGAGATTACAATTCCTTCGATACCTCCTGTTATCTCATGAATAATGAATCAACATCTGGGCCAGTAGTGGAACATGAATCCGAGCCTTGGGGTAGATTCGGAGCAGAAGGAGCGTGGTCTGCCGACCAATGCTCTGTTTTTCTTTTCACCGTCATCCCGACCGTCGTGAGTTCCCGCCAGGTGTATGGCCGAACGAGTGCAAGAAGGTTGTGATTCCCAGCGAGACAAAGACTGTACCACGAGTCAGAAACCGGAGCGAGATGGTCCACAATAGCGGAGACGAGTTCAGGAGAGAAAACTAGTGGCAGGACAGGCATGGGGTATGAGAGCGAAACGTCGATCCAGACTTGTCGTAATAATAGAGCACCATACGGTGATTGTAGGTCCATCCATAGTCCGGCGCCGTAGAAGCTGTAGAATCACACTAGAGTCCCGGAGACCACCGAGCACTTTCGTGGAGGATGTGGCTCTGGATTCACTAGCAACAACACGAACAAGTGTATTTCTGTTGAAGAGCTTCACTTTGCGATCGCGTTTAACGGGGCTCAAGCCCATAGACAGCAGCTGGCCACAACTAGGTATCATTGTGAAGCCTCACCTCGTATGCCGTTTCAAATTTACTCGGAGATTGCGCGACTGGATCAAGTTGAAGTTGAACAAGGTTGTTTTCGATTGAGCGTGATGTGTGGCTGTGCCGACGCGTACGCCTTTGCTCTCTTTCCTCGATGCCTGTTGCAGTGCCCAAGAAGATTCCTACCGCCCCGGGCGGCATAAAATCCTACTACCAGGCCAAGATAGAGGCCGCAGAACTCACTATAAACGAGAAAACACAGAACCTGCGCCGACTCGAAGCCCAGCGGAATGCCCTCAATGCACGCGGTACTCGTTGTGCTGTTTGTAATTTCTACGTGTCTTATATCTACGCTCGCAGTACGACTGTTACGGGAGGAGCTGCAGCTGCTGCACGAGCCAGGGAGTTATGTCGGCGAGGTCGTCAAAGTAATGGGCAAGACCAAGGTCCTCGTCAAGGTGCAGCCGGAGGGCAAGTACAGTGCGTCGTCCATCTCTGTTCGTTCATGTGCTACGTACTCACGACGCGGTCCCAGTCGTCGACATTGACTCTGAAATCGACGTCGCGTCGCTGACACCCACCCTCCGCATTGCGCTCCGCTCCGACTCGTACACCATCCACAAAATTCTGCCAAACAAGGTCGACCCGCTCGTGTCGCTCATGATGGTCGAGAAGGTACCCGACAGCACGTACGAGATGGTCGGCGGGCTCGACAAGCAGATCAAGGAGATTAAGGAGGTCATCGAGCTGCCCGTCAAGCACCCCGAGCTCTTCGAGGCTCTGGGCATCGCGCAGCCCAAGGGCGTCCTGCTGTACGGCCCGCCCGGAACCGGCAAGACGCTCCTCGCGCGTGCGGTCGCGCACCACACAGACTGCAAGTTCATCCGCGTCAGCGGGAGCGAGCTGGTGCAGAAGTACATTGGCGAGGGGAGCAGGATGGTAAGGGAGCTGTTTGTGATGGCAAGGGAGCACGCGCCGAGCATCATCTTCATGGACGAGATCGACTCCATTGGGAGCTCGCGGGGGGAGAGCGGGAGTGGCGGCGGGGACAGCGAGGTGCAGCGCACGATGCTCGAGCTGCTCAACCAGCTCGATGGGTTCGAGCCGTCGAAGAACATCAAGGTTATCATGGCCACGAATCGAATCGGTGCGTGCCGCTCGTGCTGACGACGCTTGGGACGGTGCGCTGACGGGGGGACGCAGATATCCTCGACTCGGCGCTCTTGCGGCCAGGGCGGATAGACAGGAAGATTGAATTCCCGCCGCCAGGTCCCGAGGCGCGCGTGTCCATTCTCCGCATCCATTCGCGCAAGGTGCGTCTCCTGCGTCCTGCTCGTTTCTCTACTAAATACGGACGTTCGCAGATGTCATTACAACGCGGCATCAACCTGCGCGCGCTCGCGGAGAAGATGGGACAGTGTTCTGGGGCTGAAGTGCGGGGTATATGTACTGAAGCGGGTGCGTGGTCTCTGCTTCTGCATTTTGTTTTATGTCTGCTTCCTCGTTGTGTCTCGTCTCTGCTTCTTCGTTTTGTTTTGTCTCTCTGCTTCGTCGTTTTAGCTCATCTCTGTGTGTCCCCATTTTGTCCCCTTCGCTGACCCCTCGACCCCGGCAGGCATGTACGCGTTACGGGAGCGTAGGCAGCACGTCACGCAGGAGGACTTTGAGTTTGCAGTGGCTAAGGTGCTGAAGAAGAACCAGGAGGGGAATACGTCGGTCAATAAGCTGTTCTCGTAGAGCGTAATGATGAGACTGGTGTTGTGATTGCGATTGGGATTGGAAATTCTGGGTGGGTGAGCTGGATGTCTTATCTTGGGTGGTAAGGTGGATTTTCTTACATTAGGCGGTGATGTGGTCTGCAAGCAAAAGAAAAGAAAAAAAAGGCCAAAAATGAAAGAGCTTGGCGATACTCTCGACCTGGGAGTCGAACCCAGCTTTCGCGCGGAACATTACATAACGCAATGACAGGCGCGTGTACTAAACCGATATACTAGTCGAGAAGTGTGGAACATGCAGGGTCCGAAGTATACACGTAGCTGACACTGCACACCTCTTTCGCAAAATAGAATGCCTCTTGAACAAGTAGTCGCTCGCTACTAGGCGATGAGGAGACAACGTTGAGTGATGGAAAGAATATAATGCGACGAATAGCCATTTAGATTTTCGGAAGCTGAAGGCTTTGTGAAACTTGCGAATGGATATACTGCCCAGCTCTGAGGAGTACAGACCACTCTATCGGGAATCCCATCGACCGAAAAGTCATGTTCCATTCTACAACTTACTCTGCCCCTCCGCCATCCTCTTCCTCGCCTCCTCCTCAGCCTTGCGCGCAAACACAATGTTCCGCTCACGGTACACCCGATCCCACAGCGCCGCCACCTCCAGTCCCACCGCCGCCGCCTTCCTTTGTGGCCTCGGCTCCTTCCTGTAATACAAATCCTCCACCACGACCTCGACCACCTGCCCGTTCCGCGACCGCCCTCCCCCGTCAATCAGCCCCAGCAACTCGTCGTACGCGCGCAGCATCGTCGCCATCGGCGTCTTGGCCGCGGCCGGGTACGCCTCCATTAATCCCGGCGGCGCGAGCCCCGTCGGCACCATGTCTGGGCACACGGCGTTGATGGTGAAGTTGTGTGCGGTGGCCTGCGGAGCGAGCGCGCGCACGAGGCCGACTAGCGCGTGCTTGGTCGCGGTGTACTGCGGGACGGCGGGGAGGGCGTAGAGCCCTGCAGCGGAGGCGGTCACGACGATCGCGCCGCCGGGGGACGGTTTGGCGGGCGAGGGGAGCGAGGCGTAGTGCGCGAAGAGTTTAATGCCGGAGTAGACGCCGAGGAGGTTGACGGAGAAGGTGTAGAGGTTGGGTTCGGTTGGGGGAAGGGCGGGGGAGGGGCGGAGGGCGTAGAAGATGCAGTCGCGGTCGTCTATGCCGGCGTTGAGGGCGGCGACGTCGAGGCGGCCGCGCCAGGCGTGGGCGAGGGCGAAGGCGGCGGATTGGCTGGGCCAGGAGGAGACGTCGGTGCGGATGAAGAGGGTGTTTGTGGGGGGAAGGTTGGCCGCCGCGGGTGGGGGGTTGAGGTCCAGGAGGACGACGTCGTAGTTCTTGGTGAGGAGGTGCTGCGTGAGCGCCAGCCCGATGCCGGAGGAGGCGCCGGTGATGATGGCGACGGGGTTGCAAACGCTGCTCATGGTGGGTGAGAATGGCTTCACCGGAAGAGATGATAAGAAAACGTGGGTCAGATATTATTTGGATATTATGATGTTCTTGAGAGCGATGGTGGGCGAGCTTGGGATCCATAGTCACGAGTCCCAGTACATTCTTCAACGCGGTTAAAACATTTTGCGGGGAGATTGCAAATTGGGCGCGTAACCAGTAGAAAGATGAAGCCGAAACAACGCGTGCGTGAGCGAGAACAGGGACGAAGGGTGGCAGAAACTTTGGAGTACGAGAGACGAATGATGCGAGGTGGTATGTTTCGGAAGCTGGAAGATCTTAAAACTTGCCGCTAGGCAAACTATGCAATAAAAGAGCTCTGAGGAGCACAGACGACACTACGAGACCTGAGGCAGACGCTCCGTCTTGAGCTGAGATGGGCGCCAAATTGAAAGGATAGATGAGGTGAAAAGCTGAAGATACCATATCCGGTAATTCGGCATGTGCTATCTTCCGGGTATCCAGGCGTGCGCAAATTCAGCGTCCGTGCGATCCTGGGAGTCGTATTTGCCACATCACAGATTTCCACGCAAAAAACATCCCCTCCCTCAGCATGGATTCTGATGTGGAAATGGTCGAGCCTCCACCGGCGTCCAAGAGCGACCTGGAGGACGACGAGGGTGGCGAAGAGGTGGAAGAGCAAGAACAGGAGCAGGAACAAGAACAGCAGGAACAAGAGCAGGAGCACGAGAACGACAACGAGGAGGGCTACTCGTCCGAGTCGGAAAATTCGTCGGACAACGCGTCCGAAGACGATGTAGACAAGGACCTCAGGCTCGTCGTCGTCCCCGATGGTTCTCCCAGCGCCCTCACCGACGACCCCGCCGACCCCGTCCCCGCCGACTCCGACGTCGGCGGGCCCATTCGGATCCCCATGCTCGTCGACCCCGCCTCGACCACCCCGCCCCCGCCCCCGACGTCCCCGCTCACCGCCCCGCCGACGAGTATCGCAAAGCCTGCCCCCACACAACCGAAGAAACCGAAGAGCCATCACGCTCCGCCGCCCCAGCCGCCGCCCGCCCCGCCTCCGCCTATGCAGACTATTCGGCTCGAAATCACGCTCGGGGGGCCGGATAATTACGAGGTCGACGTCAAGGGCATGGCGAGGGAGGAGGGGCTTGTCTGGGGCGACCTCGGTGAGAAGAAATACGCGGACGATAGCAGTGACGGGGAGGATGGCTCGGACGCAGAGGAGGGCGGTGTGGACGGCGGCGCGAAGGAGGACAAGGACGGCAAGGACAAGGACAAGGACAAGAAGGACGCGGACGGAGATGTCGAAATGGACGCCGATGGGGTACTCAAATTAACTTTTCTTCATATGCGCGCGCTGACTACTACTCACGACGCAGAAACCCAAGCCGACAAAAAAAGCCAAATCTAAGAGAAAATCCAAGGCCACCGCCGAGTACTACGACACCACCGACCCGTTCATCGACGACTCGGAGCTTGCGATCGACGAGCGCACGTATTTTGCTCAAACCAAGCAGAAGGGCTTCTATGTCAGCAGCGGCGAGGTCGCGCTCGTGCGGGACAAGTACGCGTCGCGTTATTTACCCTCAGCTACGTGTTTATTTCTTTTATTGCAGGTCACCCAAAAAGCCCAAGTCCAAGAAGAAGGTCGGCCCGACACTCTCGCTGAACCTCCCCACCGCGTCGACCTCTTCGCTTAAGCCCCTCTCCACCGCCGGACCGAAGAAGGCCAAGTCCGTGGGTGGTGCCGGGTCCAAGTCCGCGCCGGCGTCGAAGGCAGGGGGGAAGGCTGCCGGAAATGGGAAGGCGCTGGGGACCAAGGATAGCCCGATAGCGCTTGAGGACGACGACGAGGGCAAGGCGGATGTGTTTGGGTTCGGGACCCAAAGCGCTGGAGGGAGAAGGGCGAGTGGGAAGGGGAAGGAGAAGGCGGAGGAGGGCGACGGTGACGAGGCGGCGATTGCGGAGGGGGTGAATCGCATGAAGGGCAAGTGGAAAGAGCGTGTTTCCGTTAATGGTGCCTCGATCTCTACGAACGACGGGAGCGTGAATGGAGACGGCAGTGTGAAAGAGGAGGACGATGCAGATGATGAGGTGGGGAAGAAGAGGAAACGCGCGGGGGCGCCGGTGAATGGGGCTGAGGCAGATGGCACGAAGAAGAGGAAGACGGTGGATATTGTGAGTCCTTATCTACAGGGAGGAAAGGACGCTGACGCGTTCGCACAGGCATCCTTCCACCCTGAGCTGCAAGTGAGCATAGAGAAGATGAAGCAAGCTATTGCCGCTGGTGCGTGCACTTCGTCGCGCCTCTGTACGAGAAACTGACCGACACGCAGAATCATGGGAGCAAAAATCCAAGTTCCCGCCCAACCTAAAGCCACTGCTTGCCGCGCTGAGCCTGCAGGCGATCACGCTCGACGAGTATGACGACAACTTTTTCAGCTTGATGCCTATTATCTTTCCTTACAACAAGTTTACCATGAGTGTGAGTTGTATTTTGATTCCTTCGCGGTGGATATTGATACTGTTTCTAGAAACTTATAAAACGGACGATTTTCCACGACCACACGGCGCTACTGAACCAGAAGCAGGACGAGCTGCTGGAGCAGCTGCGGGCATTGGCGACAGAGGGCTTCCCCAAGGCGCAGGAGGAGTGGGAGAAGAGTTTGCAGAATTATGGCAAGTCGTGCTTCGTCTTGGAGGCAATGTAGCTGATGCGCCACCAGAGGAGAAACGGAAAGAGAAGGCACTGGCGACGGCGAATGGTAGTGGCGGTGATCCGGAGAGTGTGGAGGGGTCGACGGGGCCGACGAGGCATGGGACGGAGGACCCTGAGGCGCCGGGGCGCGTGGGGAGCGCGGGGCCGTCGTCTGCGGGCGACGGGAAGGGCGACAAGGACGAGAAGGAGGGCGGCGGAAAGGAGGGCCCGGGGAAGGGCGGCGCGCACCATGGGCCACCACTGAAGAAGTATCGGATGACTGAAGCCATGAAGCAGACGGTGTGGCAGCTTGTGTTGCTGAGCAATGAGATTTGTAGGCTGGAGAACGAGAAGAAGTAAGTGTTTCTTTCTTGCGCCGCGCTGTTACTGACTTTGGGTAGCTCGCTCGAGGGGAGTGTATTGCAGGTTAGTGAGCAGGGGCTGAGGAAGGTTTTGTACCAGCGCGTAAGTCATCCACTTCAAATATGGCGGCTGCTGACGAAGAAATGCAGATTGTAGCTGCGTTCCCAGATGGCTGGATGTCCTCCGGCCAGATTTCGCGAGATGGTACGTTCCTGGCTGTGGTGTTTGCTGTTTCTAACCTAATCACAGTGAGCGCGATGAAGAAAAAGTATGAAAAAGAAACTGCAGATGATTGAACCAACTTATAGTATTTATTTCTAACGTGCATATTGTACTATTGGACTGCTCCGCTCTTGACCTAACGTCGATGTCTTGTTGTATGGGTGTCGGTGTTTTCAGTAGCCGAGGCGAGCTTACCTAAGAGTATCGCTTTCATTTCAGTACTACGATGGGCTCGCCTCCCAAACCATGGGAGCGCAACGGGGTCACTGCGACAGCAGCACCGTCGGTGGCCCCCTCACTTGCATCCTCGACCCCGTCAGTCTCAACAGCACCTGCGGTCCCTGAACGTCCCGCATCGTTCAACGCTCCATCAACTTCTGCTGTCACCCCGTATGGCGCCTCGGCGTACGGCGCGTCTCCATACTCTAGATTTGCAGGATCCTATGGCACCGGAGCCTATGGTGGCGGTTACGGCGGTCTCGGCTCTTACGGGGGGGGCTACGGGGGTTACGGTGCTGCTGGAGGGTACGGCGGCA